TGATTAATTTATTGCACGATTAATTCAATCGGCAGAATCGGCTTATAATGAAATTTCTTTATTCTTTCTTATTTCGTTATCCTTTTTATATACATTATCCTAATTTAATATTTCTTTTCTTGTAACAGATACATGATAAATAATTATGTGTGTTAACGTTAAAATATTAGTATTTATAATGAAAAATATTAATAAATAAATTAATCGTCGGTTAAGTAAGCAGTGTTTAATCAAAATCATCCTTAAAATCCAACTTTATACAACACAAATTTTGCAATTATTGCAAGATTGCTGCAATATTGTAGCAATGTTTTTGAAGCGTGCAAGTATGATGTCTGTATGATATCTTTTTTTCTTAAAATTTTTTGCTTCTTCATTATTCCTTTTTCAATCTGAGGCTCTGAGTTATATATGTCAGTTTTATTTTTTCAATTTTTTATTGCAAATTACTAATTGAAACGCAATTTCTCATTAAATTGAAACAAAGAAGAATTTAAAATTTACTTATCTGGATTTTCCGCAAATTTTTGTTTTTTCAGATTTTTATTGCTGTGGCCAGTCATTTGTTATAGAATCATTCGAAGAGAAATTTCAAATAATATATCGATCGGTCGAAGATCAGATATCGAGATGTCTAAGTGGAACTTCCGACTTCCGTTATTTTAAAATACATCGGATAGAAGTTGGTGTCGCTAAATGGAGGATAGGATAGGTCACTCGGTCGATGATTAACGCGTCGTGATGGAAACGGAAGAATTTTGTAATGTCAATATTTCTCCGTTAGTGACACTTCCGTTCGCGACGCAATGGTCACCCGACAATCAGATCTCGATAATTACAGAGAATGGTATTCACGTGCTCGTAAGTAACATTTTGTCCTTCTTTGCGAAGATTAATATGATTCGGTATTGCGCTTAAATCAAAAGGAGAGATGAGTAGTAAGTAATTTCTGCGATTTATGCGATCTGTGAACTTTATTTGTATCTGTCAAAGTGATATATAAATGCATATGAATGTGCATATGAATGTAGAATCAATTGGATGAGAAAATCTAACCTCACCAAATTTAGTTTAGCTCACGTGCTTAGTACGAGCTCACGTAGCTTAGTACGAGCAGCGGTTGACTAGCAATTGACAGATAGTGGATTCAAATCCAGTCCTTACTCTATATTTTTTATGAAATCTAAAAATCTCACAATTTTTGAAAATATTCCGGAAACTTTAAGCTTTAGAGTTATAGACTTGTGAGAATTTAATATATTTATTTCATTTAATATAGATTTACTTTATAATTTTCAATCTATTTTATTTTTTATCTTCTTATAGTTTTAAGAATTAGAAAAAGATGAATAAATTAAATTTAGATTAAAATTTAGATTAAAATTAATCTACATTGATAGAAGAGACTAGAGATAATATATCTTAAAGACAAGTATATTAATTGATATTTAAGAATTAGAAAAAGTTAATTAGAAAAAAATTATAATTTTGTTTTACAGGAACTACAGCCATCACCTATGTCACCTAATCCAATTTTCAAGTTTACCCGTTCCTTCATATATCCTCCCGACACATTATCAGCATTTATCGATAAGATAGGATCTTTGGAATGGAATCTACAACATGAAGAGATTTATTCAGCTCTTATGAATGATATTTCATCGAAATTAGATGGTATACCTGATAAGCTCCCAAGGATAGTAAAGGCAGCATGGTCACCAAAGAATTTGATTTTTCGCAAACAATGTATATTAGCGATATTAAACTCGACTGGTGCGGTTGAATTGTTGCATAAAGTTTCTAATAATTGGCATTCCATATGCGACATTTCATCCTTCCGAATGAAAATTGTAGAAGATGAAATCAAAACTAGTTTGAATGAACATAATAAACGTAATAAACGTTTTCATGCGAAATCAAGTAACCAGTATACAAATATAATTGAAAGCTTTAGAAAATTGCAGGCCTGCTCCATAACTTGGAGTGAACTCTACAAAAAAGGAGACACTTCTTTTGCATATTTTTCTGTAGCTTATTGTTATGGCGATATATTGATTTGGAAAATATCTAGGGTATCGAACTTCAAAACTAGCTTGCAACCTATGCTTGTTGGTAGAATAAATTTAAATAATCCTTTAAAAGTTAATGTGTTATGTTGGGTCACTATTAACGCAAACAAATATTTGATCATTGTTGGATATTGTAATGGTGAAATATATGGTATAAACTTGATAGACAGAAATAACAATAATTTACAAACAGTATCGGTAACAAAATATGTCGATTCTGATAATATAGCAATTAATTATATGTACATAATTCTTCAAGATAAATCAAATATAAAGATTCTTGTTGCCAAGGGTCCTTTTCTTTTGTTACTATGTATAAATCTAATGGAAGGATTGAAGAGTATGCGATATCTGCATATGCAATCTAACATTACAGGTGAAAATTATTAAAAAATTATAGTTTACATTTAAATTTTACATTTTACTGTTATAGTTTTTCATTTTTATATTATATAAAAATTTTTTAATTAATCTTTAAAGTATACTATTACTATCTAATCTATAAAGTATACTATGACTATCTAATCTATAAAGTAATTACGACTATCTAATCTATAAAGTATATTATATTGTTTTAGGTGTAATTCCCATTATTGCTCAGCAATTTTTGATCACTATACGGAACAATATTTTTGTAATTGACATACAATCGAACGATTTAGTTAATATTGATGTTAAAAATAATTTATCACAGACGAATGTTCAATATTTGGGACTCGCTCATTCGCCAAATAAAGTGATATTTGTAAATATAACTAGTCCAAATACAATATATGATCATCTCGTGACAAGGGAACCGAGTATAATGCATGTGTTCGGTTTAAGAGGTGCGGTGTATGATCCATTATCTATTATTAACAATAGTACAAATCTTGGGAATATTTGGGATTGTATGGAAATGATTAGACTTAAAGCTACCAAGTCGAATGATCTATCTGCGGTACTTTGCCCAATTCCGAAGAAGTTGGAGTCATTGTCGCTGTGTAAACTACAAATAGCAATGTGGATGACAGTAATAATGAACGTGTGCACGACAAAGAAACCAATGCCGAATATGGATCACATAAGAGAGTCTAAAATAACACAAACGCTTCCCTTAATCTTTTTACATTCCGCTTGTACATATCTTGAAAATTCGATGAAGAAGACCACGTTGTCGGACGATCAGACTCTCGCCGTGACTTTGTTAAGACGATATCTGGAAATGTACCAAAGAAATGTAGATGAAGATACAAACAATACAGATAACATTATACATCAACGCGTTCGGGCAACATTAAATGCGACTGCATTCTATCCGAATCGGATTGAGAAGTGTACGCTATGCGACGAAGAAATAGATGAGGTGTGGCACGTCCAACCGTGTCCGAGTGGTCACAAGTTATCGAGATGTAGCACGACATTATTGCAGATAACACTGTTAGAATACCGTATTTGTCCGATATGTAGACAAATATTTCATCCATGTTTAGAAAATATGTATGAAGAACCAGAATGTTTGTTTTGCGACGTACCTATTTTACACAACTTGTATAATTTTGATGTACAAGACACAGAACTGTATGGGAAAAACTTATCACAACGGCAAGTCATCGACATGACGGAATCATTGAGAGATGTGGAATTAGATGAATCGTTTCATAAAATAAAACAAAATAAATGGAATACTTCGCATACGTATTCTATAATTGTGAGTAATGCTGATGACGAATCACCTAGTATTACGGAGAAATGGGAGGAATTTTAATTGTAATATTAAATATTAAATTCCATATATGTATATATGGAATATTTATATGTGTGTGTGTGTGTGAAATTTTACACACACACACACACATATTTTTATATTTACATTTCGCGCACACAATTGTAAATAGATTGTATATAATTAGATGTATTATAATTATATTATTATGTTAGGATTAAAATTAGGATTCTCTTATTAAACACAAGCAATACATTGTTTATCGGCTGTACTTATGTAAATAAAAAATCAGGCTTTGACGTTAATATATAAATGTATTATTATTTTAAATACATTACTATATATATAGTATTTACATTAAATTTGTTATTTAAGAATATAATTTTGAGGATATTTTAAAAAGTTGCGGATAATTGTCTACTTCTTCCTGTGGAATATGATCTAGTTTTACAGGGACAGGTCTAAGCTGTTTGATTTGGTTAGTAATATTTTTCAACACATCTTCTGGTATCTTCTCTTCTGGGAATATATGTAATCTTTGCATAGTGTGCCTCCGTTGTAAATTTTTCGGCAATGCTCTGTATACAGCTTTTTCTACAATCTGTTTCAAGTTTCATATAAAATCATATAATAAATCATAAAATCATATAATAAAAACCTCAATAAAAATGTATTGTATATTTTCTGTTTGCAAGAATCAGTTACCATAGTGGGATCCTTGTGATGTAATTCCCATGCCAGAGTCCAAGTAGCACCTCCATGATATGTAGTATGATGAAAGTATACACGTTTTCGCCATTCATCACCACGTAAAGCAATGTCTTTACTGTTTATTACTACTACGTGATCTCCACAATCATCTATAAAAATTATTAAAAAAACATTAACATTTACCATTAATAATGGTGACAGAATTTTTTCTTCTCAATAATTATGTTTATATTTTCTGATTAAAGTTTGTGGATTTTTATGATATATAATCTTATATACTTTCTTATTCATCAGTGATAATAAATAATAAAAAAATTTATAATAATGTAATTTGTGAATAATAAAAAATTTTGTTCTAATCTTCTATATGTTAGATACAATTATACAAATATTTTTGTATTGTAAAATTTATATAAATATTTTTATTGACAATTCTATTTGTAATCCAAGTTAATACTTTCTTATTTAAGCAAGAAATAACATTATGTGTGTACAAATGTTACACAAAATAGATACTAAGAAAGGAAGAAAGGCTATTGTGATACTTGCTCAATGGATGATAAATCGGTTTGTACATTCCCATAAGATAATGCCTTATCACTTCAGCACTTTTGTATGGATCTTGCCATTTTGCATCGAATATATGCCAGATACGGGCGAATGTTCCCCATTGCTAGAAATAAATCAAAGACAAAGATTTGAATTATTCTTGCAAAATCTATCGTGAATTTAAAACTAGGAAAACCAATCAAGTACATGTACCGACTACAAACAATGTAAATATATAAAAAAGTGATATGATTATTACACATAATATCAAGAAGACACAAACCTGTCCTCGTCGCGCGATTGACATGATAAATTCTAACAATAAATGTCTTTTATTCAATCTTGTAGCGCAACTCTTTTAGGTTATATCTCACTCAAATTTGAGGTTAGGGCACAATAAGCCGCGGCACGTTGACTTCGAATAGATATATTCACATCAATTATATTCACATCAATTATCAAGAAAATGGATTAATTTATGTTTAAGATTATATTTAATTTCATTTCAAGATTATATTTAATTGTATTTATATTTAATTATAAATAATTTAAACAAGCAAGACAACGAAAAAAAATTGCAAAGCAACAAAGCAAAATAAAAATAGACCGAGAACACGTAAAAGAAATAAAATAATTTTTTTTTCATAAAATTAAATTTTTTTGTACAATCAAGTTAGTACAGAATATTTTATTTTACTTGAACATTTAAATATAAAATAGATAAAACAATAGAATCAGAGTGCTGATTATTTTAATCAGCGCTTAACTTATCTGCACTATTTTATCAACATAATAGAATAAAATTATTATTAGATTATTAGAATTATTAGAATTATATATTTAAAATTATATATTTAAAAATTTTGTTGTAAGCAATTCTATCTGTTGAATTAATCACTGATTATCTTAATGGCAACTAAACCGTCAAGTAATATTTGTATTATAATAGAATCACATGTTTGTAACATACAGAAGAAAAACAAAATAAAAATTATATATATTTGAAGTTCTGTTGTACACTGTTGATTTTACTTATTGAATTAATAGCGTTTTTGACTGTAACTGGTTCAAATTGATCGAGATCGATTAAACTGGATATGTATCACAAATTTAGATTAAAAATGTGCAAAAAAAAATGCAAAATTTTAATTCATTAATAGATTCATGCATTATGAAACAATGTTTATATATTTCCGACTATATTTCTTCTTATATATTAAACATTTAATTGTTTAAATACATTTATGATTAGGAAACATATTATTATTATTATTATTATTATTATTGTTATTATTATTTTCAAATTTTTACACAATTGCCCGCGTTAAATTGAATGCGGCCGCAGCCGCGCGGCGCGGTGCGGTGCGGTGCGGTGCGGTGCGGTGACAGCGCAGCAGCGCCGCGCGGTTGCATACGTGTCTGTGTCATCGTGTGCAATCGTGTGTCAATCGTGCGATCGCGCCCAGGAGGTTCCGTCGTAGTCACGAATCGTTTTCGCGAGCACGTACGCCAGCGAGAGAGAGGACGGCAGGGGACACAACGACGTCGCGTCAGTGTCTGCGTCTACGAGGGTGATTTACGAGTTTATTTCCGTGGCGAGTCGTCCGATGTGATCCGCAAACGCGCGGCGACTTCGAGAGGGCGATTCCCATGGACCGCCGTCGTCGCCCGTCCGCTGTCACTGTCGCTGTCGCTGTCGCTGTCAACGACGATCGGCGTGACGGACCGTGCCAACTCGACCACCGCCCGACCGCCGAGCGTCGTGGCGCTTAGCCTCTCGACCCGGTAGCGAGCGATCATGCCCCCGGTCTCGGAGGTTGTGTTGATCTAGGGAAACGCGGGCAACAGTGCAGGCGATGTCAGCGATGACAATGGCGAGTGCCGTCGTCGGCAATAATCCGGAGAATGCCTCCAAGTTCCTGGAGACTCTGCAGTCGGACCTCAAGGTACTTGCCTCGGAAACCAAGAAGAAGTATCCGCAAATAAAGGAGGTATGTGGCAAGTTGACCAAACTCATAAGCTGAAAACTTTCCTTTAGTTGGAGTATGTTTTTCTTTTTATTGCGGAAGATTAAATTGTTTGGAAACAATTTAGAGAAAATTTATATAACTTCCAGAATATTTGTATTTTAGAAATTGACAATTATGGAGTCTAGTTTAAATATATTTATGTTAAAAGATCTTTTTTAAATCAAGAAAAAGTATATTGCTGTTTGAATTTATAGTCATTATCATATGTTTGTTGCAGTCATGCGAGGAAGGAATTGCAAAGTTGAGAATAGCCTCCAGTAACCCAGGGACATCAATTTATTATATTGTAAATCAAATTCTTTATCCTCTAGTTCAAGGCTGCGAAAGTAAGGATGTAAAAATCATCAAGGTATTGAAAGCTATGTTTTATGAACGCATGTTATCTTTAAAAAGAAATAAAATTTTATGAAGTTTGTACACAATTTTTATGACTTTTTCAGTTTTGCTTAGGCATGATGCAAAGACTAATAACGCAACAAGCGATAGATCAGAAAGGTGCTCGATATATTACAGATACTTTATGGTTGTTAATGGAATCAGGTACAGAGGAAGTTAAAGTTTTGCAGACGGTAACACTGTTACTTACAAGTAACACTGTAGTACATGGAGATATCTTGGCAAGAGTAAGGATTTATTTACATCTAAATATCTTATTTTTTTTAATAAAATTTTTATTCAAAATAAACTTTTTCTAGAACCTAGTGCTTTGTTTTCGATTACATTTCACAAAAGATTGTACAACGATAAACACAGCTGGTGCTACTGTAAGGCAATTAGTATCTTTAGTGTTTGAGAGAGTAGTTGCCGAGGATGAGCAAAGTCCTGATCAGCCAGAATCTGACGAAGTAAATTTAGAAAAACTGAAAATTCCAACGAATCAAGCGCCTCAAGATCTCGGTCCTTGCGCTGCAGATGCATATTTGATGTTTCAGGTGATTTATCAGATATTTGTTTAATTGTGTAAATCTATAAAATATGATTTATTACTTTGCACATTTGATTTTAGGATCTTGTACAATTGGTGAATGCTGATCAACCGTATTGGTTAATAGGCATTACTGAAATGACTAGAACTTTTGGTTTGGAGTTGCTAGAGTCGGTTTTAATAAACTTTTCGTCAGTCTTTTTTAAGGTAAATAAACTAATGTATTTCTTAAAGATAGAAAAATTATCCTAAAAAATATATCCTTTATCTGATTAGATTATATGTAAAGATTATATATATATATATATATATATATATATATATAATGAATTTTTAGCATCCAGAGTTTAGCTTCTTATTGAAGGAAAGAGTGTGTGCGCTTGTGATAAAATTGTTTTCGCCTAATATCAAGTATCGTAATTCGGTACCAGCGTCTTTGCAACAAGCTACGCCTTTAGACAAACCTTATTTTCCTATTAGTATGAGGCTACTGCGAGTTGTGTCAATTTTGATACAAAAATATCATTCCTTGTTGGTAAATATATCAAAATTTATATATTTTATATAAATTATTATTTATATATTTATACACAAATTTAATATCAGCATGAATTAAAATATTTTAATATTTTAGGTGACAGAATGTGAAATATTCTTATCTTTAATTGTGAAATTCCTGGATCCTGATAAACCTACTTGGCAAAGAGCTTTAGCATTGGAAGTTTTGCATAAAATGACAGTTCAAGCAGACTTGCTGACAAATTTCTGCGAATGTTATGACTTAAAGCCACATGCTACAAATATTTTTCAAGACATTGTCAATAGCTTAGGTGCATATGTACATAGCCTCTTTGTAAATCCACAGATGATGAGTCAGACAGGTGTGCTACATTATATTTTGAATAGTTATAAAGTTAATAATGTTACCTATTGTATTTTTAATTTATTCCAAAGTCTTTTTGTATGCAAATTATTTAGTCTCTATTACTACCTATACATATTCTTCAAGAATATTATATGACAATTTTTTGTCTTCAACAGCAGCAAGTACAGCCATGCCTCAGAGCACAGGTTCTCCATTATTCACAGGAATGCCCATCGGGCCTGGCGTATCACCTCAACCCGGTTTTTATTCACGCGGTATTTGGTTGCCAGTGGTAGCAACATTTACGAGCGGACAGGCTAAACCAACTTAGTTAGCACAATACTATTATTTACTATATTACAATATTACTTACTATTAATTACAATATTATTGTTTACAATAATATTGTATCTTTTTCATGATAAAAACAGCATTAAGAATCAATGATAACGCAAAATTGTTCTAGTTTGGAAATGTTGGATAAAGTCGAACCACCGCAAATACCGATTGGTTATGGAATCAGTATAGCTTACGCGTGCCTGTTAGATATCATAAGGTCGATCGCATTAGCCATAAATGGATCGAAAGACGACAGCAGCGAAAATCAGATCTATCAGCCGAGTGAATCTGAACGAAAGCTTCACGTACAATTAATAAACTCTAGCTGGTGTGGTCTATTGGCAGCTCTCAGTCCGTTAATAGATGCCAGGTAGCAGTCTTGCATAAATATTTTATATAATATTCGGAAAGAACGAGATTATATTTGTATTATAATATATTTATGACTCTGCAGTACGGACGAATCGGCAACAGAAAATGTTCTAAAAGCAATTCAAACCTTTGCGTCTCTGTGTGGTCAATTGGACCTGCAAGCTCCACGCGATGCTTTCATTACTGCGATATGTAAAGCGTCTTTACCGCCTAATTATGCCTTGACTGTACTGTACAATGCACCTCAAGGTATACCAACGGCAAGACATCAGGACTCGACTCAGTATAACTTGACAATGGGCGAGCCCGATTATAGGCAACAAGTAGTAGCCGTTGGTACACCATTGCCAACGGCGTCTTTACCAATTGGTAGGACAATAGCTCTCTTAAACGATCAATTATGTGCATTATATTATTATTTGATTAATTTTTTGTCACATTGATTATGTTTAGGTGCTCATCAAGGTCCTGTCATGTTGACTGCGAAAAATCTGCAATGTATGCGCGCCTTGTTGTCATTGGCTCATTGTCATGGTAGCATACTTGGTAGTGCATGGCATTTGGTACTTACTACTCTCCAACATCTTGTTTGGATACTCGGTTTAAAACCTTCTACCGGCGGGTCATTAAAAGCAGGAAGAACCGCAGCTGATCCGAATGCTGTACTGACGAATGCTGTTATGGCGGATCTACCAGTACTCAGCGCTATGCTCAGTAGATTATTCGAGAGTAGTCAACATCTTGACGACGTTGCTCTGCATCATTTGATAGACGCTCTGTGCAAACTAAGTCATGAAGCTATGGAATTGGCGTATTCTAATCGTGAACCTTCTCTGTTCGCTGTCGCTAAACTTCTAGAAACAGGTTTGGTAAACTTGCCACGTGTGGAAGTACTCTGGAGACCTTTGACAAATCATTTATTGGAAGTTTGCCAGCATCCGCACATTCGTATGAGAGAATGGGGCGTAGAAGCGATCACATATCTTGTCAAGATGGCTCTTCAGCATAAATACCCGCAACCGCTCCGTGATAATCAAAAATTACAAACTCTATTGCTAGGGCCATTGTCTGAGTTATCGTCCGTGCGTCATGGAGACGTCAGACAACGACAGCTAGAATGTGTCTTGCAAGTACTTCATGGTGCCGGGGAAACATTATACCATGGCTGGCCTTTAGTTCTCAGTATTATAGGAGCAGTTTCTGATCATCATGGGGAAGCTCTGGTGCGCATAGCTTTCCAATGTTTACAGCTGGTCGTAACGGACTTTTTGCCAGTGATGCCTTGGCGATGTCTTCCGCTGTGCGTTGATACAGCAGCTAAATTTGGATCACAGACGCAAGAATTAAACATCTCGCTGACAGCTGTCGGTCTAATGTGGAATATAAGCGATTACTTTTATCAGAACCAAGAGAAATTGTGCGTGTGTCTGCGTGGAGATTCGTCATCGGTATTTCCCGATTTTCCTGGTACAACTAATATGCCATCGTTCGATAAACTCTGGATGTGTCTCTATGCAAGATTAGGAGATCTGTGCGTCGATTCGCGACCCGCCGTACGCAAATCTGCAAGTCAAACTCTATTCTCGACTATATCCGCACATGGTAGCCTTCTGCATCAACCCACGTGGCAAGCTGTACTCTGGCAAGTATTGTTTCCATTGTTAGATAAAGTAAGGAGCTTGTCGAATTCAGCTAGCAGCGAAAAGGTTGATACCAGTGGGAACATACTTATTCATCATAGCAGAAATACAGCGCAGAAACAATGGGCGGAAACGCAGGTTTTAACATTAAGTGGTGTAGCCAGAGTATTTAATACGAAACGCCAATTGTTGCAAATGTTAGGAGATTTTCCTAGAGCGTGGTCATTGCTTCTCGAATTCATCGAGAATTCTGCGCTTAGCAAGAACAATGAGGTGTCATTGGCGGCACTGAAATCATTTCAAGAGATCCTCTTTCAACCAAAGGGAAGTGACGGCACCGAGGTAATTCAGTCAAACGATTCGGAAGGTTTGTGGACGGTGACGTGGCGCGTCTGGCTAAATATCGGAATGGAAAGTACCGCGCCACCGCAGGAAGGCGATACCGAGCCTTACGTGCCCTCCCAAGCATTTCTGACTGCGCTGATGCATATATTCCCAGGCGTTTTCCAACATATTAGAAACAAGTTTACCGGCCCCGATTTGCAGAAATTATGTATCGTTTTGAAGAATGCGGTAGCTGTTCCGGTGCATGGCGAATCGACGCCGTACATTTTGCCGTCGGTGCCTGATGTAGTTCTTACTCATCTGCAAGATGAAGTGTTACACTCTATGGAGCTTTTGCAAAAAGAAGCGTTAAACGGCCCAGACAACTTACGTATGATGATCGTACTGATATTTCTTCAATTGTTGAGTTTCTCGAAGCTGGCGTGCGAGGCTCCGACCTATGGTAAAATACCCACGAAACACATTTCTCAGATCAGAGGCGTGTCCGCTGACTGGGTCACTATGAATTATGTTCCATTTGGCGAGAAAGCTCTGTCGATGGTCGTAAGTTTATATCAGAAGACTGCGCACGAGATGGCCGTGATCGACGGTCAGGTACTAAAGCACATTGTGGAAGCGCTGCATGTACCGTTAGCCATGAAATATGCATGTCCATCCGCGACCACATGGAAATTGGCCGTGACCAGTCTTTTGGCCGTTCTGCACACCGGGTTGCCGCTTGCCAGAAAATATCCCGAGCAGTTCCAAAGCATGTGGCTCGAACTTGCGAGCACGTTAGACGATTTCTTGTTCCCCAAAAGGTAAATTATTGATTTGAAATCTCTATGTCTTTAACTTATCGTTTTAAAAGCAAGCTAAAAAGTTTTTGATCAATTGCAGTGTACTAAATGTCGAACGAGGAGTGGAAGAGATCCAAGCCGACGAAGCAGTAGATTGCCAGGTTATGGAATTACTGAGGGACGAAGTATTACCGCATTCTCAGCACATACCTCATCAATTTTATATTGAGAGTTGTTATGCTTTTAAATAAGGGCTCTATACATTCGGCCACTACAGCAAATATCGGTATATATATATATATATATATATATATATATATATATATATATATCTCTTTAAATTTGCTAAAAATTGCTCATGTATTAAATTTTTCTTTGATAAAAAGATATCTTTTTCTTGTACAGAGAACGGAGCAGAAACAAAATTACGAGAAGAATTCGCGAAAACTTGCTTCGAGACTTTGTTGCAGTTTTCTTTATTAGATGGACTGAACAATGACGCGGAAAATAGTCCTAAAAAGAATTCAGAAAATGACGAGGGCGGAATTGCTGGACGTTTGGCAGTTACGGCTTTGCTGCATAGATTTCAAGAAGTTCTACGTCGATATATTGAAAGTGAAAGACGGAGCGGAAAATGTCCTTTGCCTAGGTAATAGTATTGAAGCCTTCTGATAAATGGTTTTCTGGAAATGGTTTTAGTTGATTCTATTTCTATTCTACTGGACTTTTTATTTGGAAAGAAGCATTCTACATTTGAAATGTAAATTATTTTAAGTACTTATTATAGAAACCTTTTCTAGGTACAGGTTGTCAGAGATATCGTTTGTTCTGAAAGCCGTTGCCACTCTCGTAGTATCGCTCAAGAAAGCACCTCCCAACAAAGGTGCATTTTTATTTTCCATTTATTTTATATAAAATAATATTGCTGTGCTATATATATTTAACAAATGATCATTTGCATTTTAGTCGAAAGATCAGTATGGGAACAACTGATCGGACTATACCCATGTTTAGTGGAATGCACGATTGCAACTACTTCAGGACAAGTATCTAGATCCTTGCGAGAGGCTTTGTTGCAATATCATGATTTATTGCGAGCACCGGTTCACAGCACGCCAACTCCCAATGGCGTTTGACCAATACATTCATTTCTTTTCACTGAGAGCGCGGACTTGCACTAATAATTGACGTACAGGGTGAGTAATTTGCTTGTGTAACGACGTTCTGATGTGTGACAAAATATACCTGCAATTAACGATTCTCTGGTTTTATATGGAAGAATAATGAGTTTACTGCATAATTACACGCCAATAGTAGAATAAATATCATATTAGGTCTTTTGTTGTAAGTACAATTTCAGTAGTCTTGTACGATCGCGAAGTAATCTTCTAGATCGCTGGAATTTATTCTGCTCATCTGTCAATATACATATTATTTTTACGACGTTGCAGTACAATAATAATCAAAATGCGAATAGTTTTTAGATTAACGTTCTCATAGGAATTTTGTATAAATTTGCATAATTTTCGTTTGTCGTTTTTTCGACTTTGCGATTATGTCAGGGAGAATAATAAAGATCTCTTTATCAGGTCTATTTACTAGTAGCAATGCGAAGAACTTTCATTACAGGATTGTTATGTCGATTAAATTCGAAATAATTAGAAAGTAATGACAAATTAGAAATTGAAATGTTTCTCGTTTGAGATATATGAAATTGCGAAAGAGAATTTATTACCTAACAAATATTCTCCAGAGAGTGTAGGGATTATGTGTTCTAATAGCGCAATCGTAGTTTGTTATCGTTCCGAGTATACAAAAGGAATGCTGTATATACCTGTGGGAAATGTACAAGACAGCTTTTTTAATTGGTGTGTTGTAAATATTAATATGAGATATATATAAATACTAAGATGCAGAGGCGATTTTATAAATAATATAAACTATCACTTACTATTCTTACAAATTGCGCGACGTCGTAAATTATATTATCAAAATGTAAATAAACTTATGCAAATTAAATAAAGCTCTCTCTGAGCAACTGTTATTTATGCTTTTCCATTTCAGAGAGATTCCATATTATATCCTTGAATTATCAATATTCCTATCCTAAACATTTATTTGATTTAAATCAATTATTGAATATTAATAAAGAAAGATAATTGTTTTATCCGAAAAATAATATAATATGCAATACGATAAAAATCTAATAAATTATGCAATGGTTACTAAATTTTTATAAATTTTGTAAATTATTTAGTTGTTTGAATATTTCAAAAGTTTGTATAAAGAACATTAAAGATTCTTTTATTCCATGTCCAGCGTTGAATTAAGATTGATAGAAGAAAGGAAAGGTAAAAAAATATTTTGTTTCTTGAGAGACATATATATATTATATTTAAAAATAAAATATAATCCAGAATAGTATACATGTATTGGTATGGAACGTTCATTATAATATGTAATATACATATATAGAATTTGCCAGTATCGCGCTTTTTTATTATATTATGGAAAATAAAGAATAAATTTATATGAAAGTTGCTTTAACAACAAGCTATAGTTTTTAAATTATCATAAGCAGAAAATTATAATTATTGAGATATGTGAATTTTATTATTTTAAAAATTTTAATCGGTCTTATTGCAATGAAATTCAAAATAAATTCAATTAACAATTATATTAAGATAATTAACCATCAAGAGAAGATATAAAAATTATAGTATAGTAAAATTTTCATTAAAACTGATACAAATTATATTAATGCCACAAGTCGACAAAAAATGCGCGATATATGTATATACTTTGGACATCTCATATATATTTAAATTAGATGGCATCATCTACGTATAATGTAGTTCCTTCAAACGCAATTTTTTACATGTATACATTTCGATTTACAACGATTAATTCTAATCATCAACTTACATAACGTATTTTTAATAGTGAGGACTAGCTTATGGCAATAAGCATTTAATGGGTTTACATAATTGCTTTGATATTTTGTTTGCCGTAAAATTAATAAAATAACGGAACAACTATACAAAGTCTTCAACATTATAGGTCTACGTATTAACTAAACAACTATTGCTTAATTTAATTTAAAATAAATTAACTTTTTTGTTATATGACGTATAAGCATTGTTACCGATAGATACAGTACATTTCTATGTTTAATACGCATTGGTATACGAGTGCAGTTATATCTATTTTTTAATTGAATCTTGTGCACACATAAACGACAGTTGCAATAATTAATCTATAGGAAAGTGCGCACACACAAGTAAATGATGTATTAAAAATACATTGTTATATAAAAACATGTACAAAGAATAATAAATAGATCTCAGTACATTTTTATTCATGTCAAAATATCTTTCTTATGTATGTCATTAATAAAATATTGCTCTATTACAGAAGGCGGTGTGCAAATTAAATCTTAAAATTAAAATTAGTAATATACGCTCGATAGATATGTTAAAGTGCTATTAAATAAGCGAGTGTACATTTATCGTAAATATGTCCTGTTTTTTTCCCTTCCTGCTTTTTTTTTTTCCTTAAGTCTAAGAGTTGCTTCTTAACTCTTTAATATTAAATGTATTTTATCATTAATTATTGTCTGTCATTTCTGTTTAAATTTTCTATAATTATTAATAGACATAATTTATATCATAATAATATTAAGGTTTCTATGTCAAGTACG